CCCTTTGTACGAACAAAAGTAAGAGAAATTTAGGATAAAAATACGAACATGTTCTTGCATGAGGCCCAATGATCCTATTTAATATATTCTATATTTTTCTTGTGATGATGAGAATCATGGCAACAAACCCTGAACATAAACCATTTTTAAATGTCTTCTGTCTCCCCCTAGTGTCAGGAGGCTGAACTGCTAAAGCACTTGGCTGAGAAGAGGGAACACGAGCGTGTGGTGATCCAGAAGGCATTTGAGGAGAACAACAACTTCATCAAGAACGCAAAGGAGAAGCTGGAGCAGAAAATGGAGGCCAATAAGGAGAACAGAGAGGCTCTTCTGGCTGCTATGCTGGAGAGGCTGCAGGAGAAGGTACATCACAGGACCAGATTTAAAAAAAAAAAGTTCAGAAAGCTTTAAATGATGTTAAAAATTATTCCAAACATAATCCAACACATTTTAAAGTGCAAGTATCATTTTAGAATGAGTTTCATTTTTGTTKCGGTACATTTAATTAATTCCTTTTAGCCGCTATGAGTCAGGGATCTGGTATCTTCCTCCAGCAGACAATATGCAACATGAATCAAGTCCTCTACAGGGACACATAAAGACAAACAAACATTCACACTCTTTGGGACAATTTGGAGCTACCAAAAAACAAACATGCATGTGTTTGGTCGGTGGGAGTAACCTGGAGAACATGCACATGCATGACTAAAATCACTGTCATCAGTTCATGTATTAAATGTTTGCTAAAAACATAGAAGAAATAATAAGAGTGGATGAGAGAGAGTAGTGAATATGTCACGTTTTCTGATTTGTTTTATGTTTTTCTTATTTATTGCCTGACAACTCCTACTGTTTCTTTGTTACTACAGAGACACTGCAAAAACTGTCCATCTTACCAAGTTTTAAAATCTTATATCAGCCAAAAAGTCTTTTTGATCTTGTTTTGAGTCTGATTTACTGAATAAGAACTGATTGTGTAAGAGTAATAATATCGTTTTCAGAATGTGTAAGATTATTTGTCTTGTTAGTCTGGAAATTTGACTCAAATTAAGTCAAAAAATTCTGCCAATGGAGTAAGAAAAATTTACTTGGTAAGATTCTTGAAATAAGAAAAAATTGAGTCAAATCAAGTATTTCAAGAATCTTACCAAGTAAAATTTTCTTACTCGACTGGCAGAAATTTTGACTTAATTTGAGTCAAATTTTCAGACTAACAAGACAAATAATCTTACACAT